TTCAGGTGCCACGGCTCACGCCACCCGGCGGTTCTTGCCACTAAGGCCACCTGTCCTTGTCAGCCACCTAGGGAGATTCAGGCCCAATCACCCCCGGATTCGAACCTGCAACCTCCGGGTGACCGTATGGCGCCAGTCAAATTGTCATGGATAGGGCCCTCCGGGCCCGGGACCTTACCCACTAGGCCAAAAAGACCATAAGATGACTGGCGCCATGCCAGCCACGCCCGGAACCCATACTTATAGACCTTGGCTTGGGGCCTCACACCCCCGGGGCCTTCCAGGCCCACAGGCCCCCGCAGGGCACCTGTTACAGTTGTAGATCTCTGGTCGGTTTCACCTCAGCAAGATAGGCAATAACAATTTGACTCATTGCTTCTGGTAAATACCGGGCGACCACAAATGGTTTATCCTTAACGGCCTCACTTTTGTTATACTCATTTAAGAGTACAATGTGATTGAAATGAAGCAGGATATTTCGGAGGGTCGTTGTGTCATTTGCGTGGAATTTAATAGATTGAAGATTATAATAAAGTAATATAGTATTCTACTCACAGATTACTATAATATGAAGAAGATTGAATTTCAAGAGAGTTAAAAATACATAGAATAAGTTATTACAGTTTTTAAAGAAGTAAATACAGTACTATCTTCATTCTTTTCACACTTATTGAACACTATAATAGAGTGTATATCTGTAGATAGTGAGATTCTTTCACTCTGTGTGATTTTATAAGATAAGAATCTATTAAAAAATTGAATTATATTTACAGATTTCTCTGATTTTTAACTTCTAATTACATCTTCTACTGACTATATAAATAATAATATTAATGTAACAGCACGGCGCTGAGGCGGAGACTCTTCAGTGTATGCATGTAGAGAGTTGAGATATAAGAAGAAGCTGAGTGAGTAGACTTGACTATATAGTTTGAAATAGTAGTAAGTCTACTGCTATGAGATAAAGAAATATCTTGAGTACTTGATTTACTAAGAAATTTATATGACAAAGATAGTAGCTCTGTTAGATTAGAAATGAATTACTGACTTCTTAAATGAGAGAAGTCAGCATCTAGCTATATAGATGAGTGAGTGATAATTCATCTCTATTTTCAATAACTGAGTATTTCAGAATTCTTCTAGAATCTTCTCTATATCTTTTTATAGAAGAAGCTTAAGTGACTCTGCAGTGATATTTTGAATGAATCTCTCATATTAATAATCAGTAGCTATATAATGTTATAAGAGTTTCAGATTCTGTGTAATCATTAAATATATAAATTTTAAGTAAAGAAAAATAATCTTCTGTTCAGCACTGTCATAGAGTTTTATAAATATATAAAGTATAATAATTACTCTCTCTTTTAAAAGTAAATATATAAATTTTAAGTAAAGAAAAATAATCTTCTGTTCAGCACTGTCATAGAGTTTTATAAATATATAAAGTATAATAATTACTCTCTCTTTTAAAAGTATTATTTCAATAATCTCAAGAATGCTGAATAAAGTAATATCTTTATTTATATAATAATAATATTGTTCTGTTTGAAGTTCAGTTGCTGTGTAATACAGTAATAAAGAAATATCTTCAGATATGATCTTAGTGTGTTTCTTTCTTTCTTTCTTATTTAAATAATGTCAAATTCAAATGCACAGTAAATGACTTAAAAATGTGTTAATTAAGAGTATAGAAAATGTGATTAACAGTATTACACAGATTTCATGAAATTTCTTATAAAAAAATGAGTAAATAGTGTCTCTGTTAATAGTAGAAGTTGTTATTCAGCTCTTTTAAATAATAGTAAGTGTACTGAAATGATATATTTATAAAACAGTAAGATAATCAATCTGATATTCATTTAGTGAGTAAAAAGTATTTATAAGATACAGCAGCATGTTCTGTAATAATTAAGAAGATTAGATTAAAAGATACAGCAGTGATAAGCAGTAATAGCACTGAGTTATTCTACACTCTCTCTGTTCTTCTTTCTGCATCTGTCACAGTTATGA